TGCGTTATTGCTCACAGTGACAATAACGCAAGCAAACGCTTTCATAATAGTTAATTGAAGGCTATGCAAGCCGATGTTCCTTTTTTGTCCTTTCGGCAAGTTTTGTTGCTCAAACTGATCCCAAGTATGGAGAGAATGGTGAAGTGGATCTTGAATTCTAAAAGCGCGTCTTTAAGCGATAGATTTGGCTCCGCCTGTTGATCTGTGTTTGTGTGTTTCAAGTAACGTGTGTACAAGAACTGTTGGTGGTTTCTGCATTTGCTACCTTTATTAAGTTATGCATTCGTATTTCTCTTTTTAGGTGGTTACGGTCGACGGTGACAAGCGTATTGTCATATACAGCAAGACACTCATCAACAAAGGCGATGAGATCACGTACGATTACAAATTCCCAATCGAAGAAGACAAAGTCGACTGTTTGTGTGGTGCTCCGAACTGTCGTGGAACTCTCAATTAATCGGTTGCTCTTTAATCTTCCTGCTTTAATTTGTTCTTACCCTCAGGAATTTTTTTTGTGTAACTGCTCGGTGTTTGACCTAATACCTTTCATCCCATATATTGATCATTGTAACCTATTGTGATTCATTCTTACTACATCATACTATTTTTGCTTTTGCTCGCAAAGTTTGTACGTGTTTTGAGATTCATCGAAAGATTCATCGACATAATATGTTTGTTTAAACGTTCTCTATAGTACTGTATTTAGCAATTACGTCTCTGTCACTGCCCAAATCTACTTACACCAAATGTTGCGAGCCGATGATGTGCATCTCAATTTTTTTTTGTTAGATTAACTTATCTCAGAAGTCACAATCCACCAATGCAGTGAGGCCAGGTATTGTCCCAAATGTGAACTGACCTCGAGCGAGCTTTCCCGAACTCTACAATAATTTCCTCACTTCTTCTAGAAATCTTTCCCATTGTTCCGGGTGACTCTCAAAGAGCTAAACTAACAGTGTTGTTCGATCAGGCCTGTAGATTGTTGAATGAATGTTTATAAGGAGTTCAGGTTTCTGATAAATTTCATACAGGTCTGTGACCTAACGTTAAATTTCACTACTCATTTACGATGATTGCACGTGGATGTTGACAAGCTTCCTTGTTAACTGATGTTTTTCGTAATTCGGACTTATCACATTAGTTTTGATATGCGGATAGCCAGCTATCGGTAAGGAAGTGGTCGCTATAGGCACAGGGAAGACGCACACAGTGTATTGAGTAGAAGATTTACCCAATAATAGAATAAGGGACACTGCAAGGGTAGTGGTGCCTTATAAACGGCATGGTAAGGCGTCGGAACGACGTTTGGAACTCTTCACCACCTACGTTTCTGATCTGGGAGGGATTGCAACGGTCGCGTTGTTGGCGCGTAAAAGTTATTGTTCTCGCTTGATCTCATTTCCTGCGCCGCTTATGTCGAGAAGCTTTGATGAGCCCTAACTCGTCCACAATCTCCTCCTATATCGAGTGCTTCCGTGAGTGACGCGTGAGGCTGTCCACCTCAGAGTCAACGGGACCGTCTCCTTAAAGGAACACCGGTTTCTTAAGGAACAACTTGAGGATATGCGCTATGAACGGAACTGCTGCTTCTGGTACAATTTCTGTTATTACGACCTGTTTGTCTAGCTTTTCATGGCACGTATACCATCAAAAGCTGAGTTGGGATGAAATGGTGCCGAGACGGTAAAGTGTTAAGCGCAACTTGCCGGAAAGCGAGAGGTTGCGGGTTTTATCCCGCCATGCGAGGCGAATTTTGTTCTCAACAGCATTTTTGAAACTGTTTGTCTATGTTCATTGTAACGGGAAGCGGAGTCCCAGGACAGAAATTAGGGCGGGTCTGCCTCTCAGTAACACTCACTCGGTGTACTTTCGAGGAAATCTATCGGTCTTTGCCTTATCTTTTCACAATTTATTCTCACAGCAAACTTAGTGTCAAACTCCGGGGAGAGGTATTGTCGGATATTGGTATGGGATTAGCGAAGACATTTGCATTTCGTTTTTTGCCTATCATGTATTGTACCTTTCCTGGCAATCTACCGCTAAGCTGAGCTATCCCAAAGTGTTCTTACCTTTCCAACGCGGACATGTTAATGTTGGATGAAGCAGAGCGATGGCCCTAGCGCAGTGGTCACGTGACTGGAGCGGGCGCGGTTTTGATGACGTCCTGAGGGTACATGTTGGACTTAGACCCTCAGCGGAGGCTGGGCTGTAGTTACGATCGCCTCTACATCATCCCACCAGTGACGATCAGTGACGTCATCAAGGTTCAATCTCGTTTGGCACACCACCGATGAGTTCGTCAATCCCTTTGGAGGGTCAGGATGGAGTCTGTCCACCCGAGTCGCAGATGTCTCTTCTCGTGAGGCTAGAAATTATGCGACAAGGGCCTTGCCAAGACGGCTTTGATTGAATCCGCTTTACCGCGTTCGCCATACCCGGCGTCGGCGCCGTGTCATCCGTTACGTTCTCTCGCATATCCTCTATTCTACGCGCTCAGTGTCGTATTGCTGTAATACAGCGATACGGCCTTTCGTAGGGAAGAAGTAATTATAAGGAGAGGGTTGATTGTTAGGTATGTTGGTCACTTACCTATTCTCTCTCAATGTAGCAGCTGTGAGCAAAGCCTAGTTTAGTCAAAGGTGCAGAAATGTATGGTTGTATGTAGTCTACACATTTGAAACGCAATGCCTCGGAATATCAAGGCTGAAAACTTTTCGAGTTTGTCGCTATGGAACACTGTGTCTTCGACCAATGGCCGTTCGTTCATCTGGTCCCGTTCATTGATATTATATAGGGATAGAACGCTTGAGCACTTGCTCTACCATACCTGCGAGCAGCGACTAAGACATGATTGTCGTCCAGTACAGAGCCCATTTCGAACTGGGTTGCATAAATTTGGTAGAAGCCTCAATAACTTCCATTACAAACTTGAAGCACTGCTTAAACGGTTTTTACTCTGATGTTGTCGGCTGTAAATCGTTTTATGACATTTTTTCATGATCTCGGTAATATGTGGACACGTGGGTAAAAGACCGAATAATGTTATTGCATTAGTTCACATCTCGGCCCGTTTCGCAGTTCACATCCCATGCTTTGTTTTCTGCGGAAAACGTTGGGAAAGGTAGTGACTGGGAAGCACTATCGGCGTTGTATTGGTCGTTGGTACCGATCGCAAAACGAGTTCTTGTTAGCTTTTCATTGGTTCCAAGCAGCAGCACACCCATTTTTTGCAGTATCATATGAAAAGTTTTCTCGTTTAGTATATTTCGTATTATATGTATGTTTGTTTCGTTCGTATCGTCTCATGTGCAGGAAAACCGTGACCTTTTCGTTTTTATTATATGGCGTGGCACTGCCTTCGCTTGCTCGTGCTTCGTCCAACAAGGGTGTCGTCGCTCGTTCGTGTTATCAGCACCACTCCAGTCATGGGACGAGGCTTCAAACAAGGTCAGTTTTTCTGAAAAGTAATGTTCTCAATCGAAATTTACTTCCTTTTCATGAGAAATTGCACTTCCAAGACTTTCATTTCGATGCGCAATTGAAGGCGGATAGGAAATAAATCATTCGTTCTCAGAAATGAAAGCAGAAGTTCCAAATAGTGCGTTAGGGGAACAAACGAAGGAAACGGTTCACTAGACGAAATTCTACGAAGTTGGCGAGATCATTGTGAATACCTTGCACACTTTGTATAGTCCCTCTCACCCCAGCCTCATCATCAATCAGTCCAAGTACGAGATCGCCACCCGGATGCGAGATCTATCTCGAAAGTGGCTGTCACCACGCGTGGGGCCTTACTAAAACGCTGTAGGTGCTCCTTCGGCCACAATACCACCACGCTTCGTACTCTTATGGATCAAGCTTCTCTCAGAGATAGTAGATATAGACCTTTTTTCCAATTCACCGTACTACCTGCCTTTAGAGGCACATCGCACGATAAAGCCCAGCTCATCGGAAG